AATATACAGGTAGGTGTCATGTCATTCCAAAAACCAGCCGACAGTAAAAGACTGTAAATACAGAAATTGTAATCATAAATCTCAGTTTAAAACAGAACGAAATATAATCAAATAATAGTGAATGGTTGTATTTCTTCTTTAATTATTCGATTATATTTCGTTCTGTTTTAAACTGAGATTTATGATTACAATTTCTGTATTTACAGTCTTTTACTGTCGGCTGGTTTTTGGAATGACATGACACCTACCTGTATATTAGTTGTATTAAAGCCTACTGTACACGAGACTAACTGTTATCGTCTTCATTGGGGTTACAGTATAATCTATGCCAAAGCCATTCAATTCTTCCTATTTAGTGAAATGTTTTTCATAACAAAGTAGAAACACCAAATAATTTTATGGAGATTTACATTCACTTTCACCATGGGTGTTATCGTAAAAATGTGGGCCTTCCTATCTGACAAATTGAAAGCAAGTATGGCGACTGTTTGGAGCGTTACCTTTTTTTTATTTAATTATTTCCATATTCTATGTAATCGGAGTTCAGCTTTAATGCACACATCTTGTCAAACCTTCAAAGGCTAATATCTTCGCTCGCAATAATTGGAAAAATTAGAATAAAATTTTCAAAATATTCTTTAAGCATTATCTATTTTCGAACTATTATAGCAAGAATAGCTAGTTCTTTATCTAAATCTTACAACAAGGAAAGCTGTCTAGTCGTTCGGATGGGACGAAAAACCGAGGTCCCGTGTACACTTTGGCGTGCACGTAAAAGATCCCTTGGCAGTTGGAATTCGATATAAGAGTAGGCCGTAGTGCCGCTGTCCGGGCAAAATTTCCCTCATAGCACACTGTATGGCGTATGCCCGTCTTCATTAGCCCAGGTTAGGAGCAGAACAGTAGGACGTTAAACCCCATTTCATTTCATTTCATTTATAAAATTTACATAATGTATATTTAATAAATTATTATTTATTATTATTATACATAAAATATTGTAAACAATGAATCTCTAAAAATAGTAATATCGATTCAAAAATGGTTCAAATCCTTTCATTATTTACAAAGATATGTTGAATTTAATGTTCTTCGGTCTGTCTGCTCGTTGTGAAATTAGCCCGGCAAAATTTCTGTTACCGCGAATATGAGACGAAAAAGGGTATTTTGATATAAAGGGCTGACTGAAAAGTTCTAAGCCTATCTGTAAAAGATTTGTACAAAGTCGATGGTTTCCTTTTATTTTTCTTCATAGCCCCCTCCGAGGTACTGTACACATTTTTGCTAATGATGTTGCAAGGTCTGGATGTCGGTCAGGAGGACATTTTCTTCAACCATCCTAAAAAAAAAGTCGTCTACAGCTAGAAAAATGATGAACAACTAGTTTCTTTTCCCTTTTAGAAGCAGGTCTCATCCATGGTTACAAATCTGGCCCAAATATATATAAAAACCTGCACTTGTCACGGGTCGTCAGGAATCTGACACGTTTCTGACCCGCGCCAGTCTTGTAGAAACTTTTGTCATTCCTAAATAATTGGCGATAATTTGCTCAACTCTCTCACGAGAGAAGCCCACAACACTGGCAATATATCTAATGGTCAATCAGCCATGACCATGTCATGCACCGACTGATGTTTTCTTAAATGGTTGCTGCTGATGACCTACCAGTACGCGGGCCATCGTCAAGGCTCCCTCTCTCTCTCTCTCCGCCCACTTCTTTACTGTGGAAAAAGAAGGGGCACCATCCCCTAATGTGGAGACCATGTCGGTATGTATCTGACCATGACTTCCCAGGACGCGGGTCATTGTCAAGGCTCTCTCTCTGCCACACTTAAATTCCGCACCATCCAATTAAGTGGAGACCATATCGGCATGTATCTGTGTTGTGGCTATTCCTTTCGGGTACGTGATGACTCAATCTGATTAAAACACAGATCCTATTTCGTTTCGTTTTTTATAGTTCAAAATTTCGTTTCACTTGCATTTACTAAACAAGGATCTGGAAGCGTTCTTATATTACCGGCGTTCTGGTTGAAGTCAGGGATAAGCCAATGAAACGGTCTGTAACGGTGGGTTCTTGGCGTGCTATGCACGGAAATGTGGGTAAACCACTAGAAACATCAACGCTGATTGATTAATCAATGTCTGACTTCATAGGGTCCAAAGGCGCTCGTATGATCCCTGACGCGACTTTCCAGTACAACCTGTCAGATCTTCATGTAGTGTAAGTCATCGAAAGTATAAAAAAAAAACGAAACGAAATATAGATGTGTATTTTGATCGGATTGTTGGTGACTGCACTATAGTCAGTTTTGTCCATTTTTGGTGATTTCAATGGTACTACAGTTCTTCTTATTATTATTATTACATCATATTTATAGTGCGTCCTTTCATATAACATGTCCAGGGGCACTTTACAAAGTGAACATGTAATCATAAATAAACAAGATTATGGACATGTTAACGATTGTTAACAATGTCTATGATTCATTCAATGATTGTACTTGCTGATGAAATAAGTTTGTTTCAACCGAACTGATCTATCCTGTTCAGGCTTAGAATTTTTCAGCCAGCCCTCGTACGCTATAGACGAGGTCAGTGATTCCAGGCCAGCTAAATCAAGTTGAAATGATAAAGTAGCAACCACCATTATCGTGGAGTGTGATTTCTATAGGTAATCACTCAAGGATTATTTAAAGCCGTAAAGCTGATGAAAATAAATATCCCTACTGACACCAAACTTAAAGTTGAAATCAATTTGTACTTTTTCCTGTGTTCATAACGTCAAATTCATGTAGTCAATATTGCTAACCCAAAACTGATATATATTCCTCTTACGTATTTTCAATCTATAGAGATAATTGTTGACCTGTCACCTGAAAAGGGGGGTTGGATGGGCGAATGGTTGACGCGTGCGCGCTGTATCATAAAGTCGGCTATTGAGTCAACTGGCGTGGTTTCGATTGCCCGGTTGTACGTGACAAGGAGTAGGGTCGCCTGTCCAACCTCGTGAGTTTTCTCCGAGTCCTCCGGTTTCCTCCCACGGCTAATGACCACTACGCGTATGCGAATTATTGAAATAAAATTGAACCATATTTTAGTCCCGAAATGACCTAGCCTGTGTCGAGTGGTTAAAATACGTCCACTCAACACATACAGGTCATGTCGGACTAACATATAGTTCAATTTTACTCAATAATTCGAGTGCGCGTAGGGGCCTTTAGAAGAGAGAGGAAACCAGAGGACCCGAAGAAAACCCACGAGGTTAGACAGGTGACCCTACTCCTTCTCACGTACAACCGATGATTGGAAACCACACCAGCTGACTCAATGACATGCCTTATGATACAGACCCCTACGCACAAGCGAATTATTGAAATAAAATTGAACCGTATGTTAGTCCCTGTCTCTGTGACAAAGTCATATTTGGAACGTGTTTAACCAGTTCTATCACATATGTGTTAATGACTGACACCACCAATATTGTCCTTTAAGTGACCGAAAAAATGAAATGAAATGGGGTTTAACGTCCAACCGTTTTGCTCCGAACTGGGCTAATGAGGACGGGCATATGCCAAACAGTGTGCAATGAGGGAAATTTTGGCCGGACAGCGGCACTACGGCCTACTCTCATATCGAATTCCAAATGTCAAGGGATTTTTTACGCGCACGCCAATGTGTACACGGGACCTCGGTTTTTCGTCCCATCCGAACGACAAGTGACCGAAAAGGAAAGACATGGCACATGAATGATTTCATAAAAGATTGAGAATCTTATGATCAATTGAAATTTTGACCAAAACAGTCTTTATAATCATCGACAAGAGTGGGTTTTTTTTGGGGTTTTTTTTTTTGGCAGTTTCAATTATCCATAACTTTGTCAATTATTTGATGAAATCATTTTAATGTTGGAAAAGATGAGTACAGTAGGTTTAGATATAACTTATTTTTCATTGTCGGTACCATTTTAGAATACTTTGGGCGATATTGACGGAATAACGCTCTCTTTTTTCGGTCCTTGTCGGTGACAAGTAGGGCGCGTACACAGTGCTATTTACCAGTAATACTTTGGTATTTTTTAACTAGTAAAATAATTTTATATTTATTACCATTAATCAGTTAGAAATATACTCGCCTTTATCAGGTCACCCACTCGATGTGGTTATCGAGACAGTTATTCTGGGAGAATTACGGGACTTCAGTTTTCCGTCCCACCCGAACGACTAGACATTGTTCCTTGCCAGGCCCTCACACCTGCACCATTATGCAAAGGGTATTTCGGTTTATATTACCCTTTAATAATTCTAATACCTGTATATTTATCTATATCTTCTTTAAACGATATACATGTAGATATTAGTATGGGACAAAAACCCGAGGCCCCATGTGTACGGAAAAGAGCCATTGACAAGTGGAATTCGAAATAAGCGTACGCCATAGCGCCGCTGATGGGACAACATGTCCATCATAGCACACTGTATTTCGTATGCCCGTCTTCATTTGTCTACTCAGTGCAGAAAAGTAGGAGAAAGAAATGATATTTAACGACCACTCGACACAAACTAGGTCATTTCAGGACTAACAGGGTTCAATTTTACTTCAATAATTCGCTTGCGCGTAGGGGTCATTAGCTGTGGGAGTAAAACAGAGGACCCGGGGAAAACCCACGAGGTTGGACATTTCATTTCATTTCAAGTTATATGTGTTGATAAACATGATATACGATTATAATATGGAGATACCAAGCTGTACAGGTAACTGCTGTTTTAATAAGATAATTCTTATAAATTCTAAGATAACGTTACAGAATATGGAATTTCACACACACGGTATTGTCCAGCAGTGTTAGAACATTCATTGATTCCACAGTTACCATTGATGGGGAGTCGCGAAACAATACAATTAAATCACCACGCTCTTACAGATCAATACATGAAATACTGGGGTGCCTGGAAACAGATTACAGGGAATATATGCAGAAAGCGATGACGTCACGTGTAGAACTGTTTACCGTGGGCGCGGTGGGCGAAACGGTCACTTAAACTTCCGTCAGCCCTCATATCGCTCTTTTAAAAGTTTTCTATAGACTGTCGTTACCAAACAAGTTTGAGACATTGGGACCAGCAAAGTTTATCGCTAGATAGTGGACGTCTTTTATACTTTTGGTGGTATTTAGTAAACTTGGAAACACGGAACGAGGAAAAGGGAACATTTAATATTTTCATATTTTGTACGCAGGACAAAGACAGCTATACACTTCACTTAAGGTAAATCAATTTTCTATAATTAAATCTTTGTCGTTGTTGATTGAAAAAAAAATATGCCATATATTCAATATTAATTACGAACATTAAAATATATTTAGTTAAATATCGTTATAGATGAGAATGAGGATTCTCCACGGTTAAAAATAGAAATTACATTACGGAACAATAACTGTCTGGCAGTTTGATTGATCAATTTTAAAAGAAATAAATTACAAACTTTAAAATATATTTAGTTAAATGTCATTACTGATGAGGATACATTCTTTAAACTTTGATGGTATGATGCCCCACGGTTAAAAATAGAAATTATATTACGGATCAATAACTGCCTGTCAATAAATTGTTTGATAATTTTTGAAATAGTTATTGATGAGGATGCATTCTTTAAAATTTGACTGCATGATGCCCCAAGGTTAGAAATAGAAATTACATTACGGACCAGCAACTGCCTTGCAATAAATTGTTTGATTGATAATTTTTGAAATAATTATTTAATAATTTGTCAAGTTATTGATGATTACTGAGCCTTATATAAAATAGATTTCTCTAAGAGTTTACAATATATGTATTATAGATTTACACTGGCTTTCATGTCATCATAGATTTCTGAGGGTTTATAATATATCTATTATAGATTTAATCTGGATTTTATTTCATCATAGATTTTTTTACTTATTTGTATTAGCCAACAGCTGTCTTCATTTGACTTTCATTTTAGTTAAAGAAAGTTTTAATCATGCACCGCCCTTCCCTAAGTTACAACTGAATTTAAGAGAAAGAGAGAGAGAGAGAGTGAGGGGGGGGGGGGTAACGTCCACTCGACACAGCTACATGTAGATCATTTCGGGTTTAACATGGTTCTATTTCATTTCAATTATTCGCTTGCGCTTAGGGGTCTATACCCGTGGGAGAAAACCGGAGGACCCGGAGAAAACCCACGAGGGTGGACATGCGACCCTACTCCTTGCAACGTACAACCTGGGATTCGAAACCACGCCAGTTGACTCAATGACAGACTTTATGATACAGCGCGCGCGTGCTAACCATTCAGCCATCCAACGCCCCCTAATGAAGACGGGACGCGATTTGCGGTGTGTTACCTTTCATCGAATTCCAACTGTCAAGGGTTCATTTACGAGCATGCCAAACGTATACAAGGGACCATCAGGTTCCTGGAGGTTGGGCAGGCGATCGTATTCCTTGTCGCATACAACCGGGGATTCGAAACCACGCCACTCGACTCAATGACAGACCTTCTGTTTCAACGCGCATTCCGCCTCCCGACCTTACTAGACCGAATTTAAAGAAATTTGTCCACAGTCGTATTGTTAATAGTTGGCGCGGTGGCTCAGTGAGTTCGTGTCCGCTGTTGGCCGAGAAAAATCATCGGGATTTTCCAGTGTCGGTTCCCCTTGTCAGAAATGCAAGACAGAGGGCTTAGTTATTCGAATGGAACTGAAAATCGAAGTCCTGTGTTCAAAATGGCGACCGCGTGAAATAACCCCTGACAGTTGGAATTTTACATAAGAGTAGGCCATAGTGCCGCTGCCTGGGCAAAATTTTCTTCATAATATACTGTATTGCGTATTGCAGTCTTCGTTAGCTCAAATAGAGCAGAAAGGTCCGGACGTTAAACCCCATTTCGTTTTATTTCATTTTGTGACATTGTAATTTGTCCAGTCAGTGTTAAATACTACGAAATTAAACTCAATTTCATTTAGTAACATTGTAATTTGGACCTACGAGTGCCATTTGGATGGAATTCCATGGTAAAAATAAGACGATTGTTAACCTCAAGCCCAAGAAATACAAATATCAATTTAAAGGAGCTAAGTCGCTAATATTTTGGACCTAGAGATGAACAAATGTATATACATGTAAACTGATTTACATTCAATCATTTCTGTTTTTACTGTAATTTCTAATCAGTTATATTCGGCGAAATGGCAATCTCTAGCGTCTGGTTATTACAGTCTACATCGATAGTATCTATTTCGCATGTTCTCTAGATAAGAATATAACGTCACCTTTTGACATGACTTGCGAAATATTTCAAACCTCGTTCTTCGAGTCCCTTGTTACAAATGGCGCTGAACCACAATGTACACAATGATAAAATGTTTATTTTGTCTTAAATATTGGAAATCAGGCTCAGAGTTCACAAAACATTCTCAGACTTAAGTTAAGAATTTACTCAAAATTGTTTGCCTTCTTTTAACTAAAATATTACCCTTTATTAAACTGTTGTTGTTTTAATGTATCAGATACACCAATACGAAACTATGTGCAAATTTTGTGTTTCTGAATTAAACAGATTTCTCATAAACAGTGATTGAAAGTTGAGTAAATTCTTGTGTTTCTGAATTAAACAGATTTTTCATAAACAGTGATTGAAAGTTGAGTAAATTCTTAACTTAAGTCTGAGAATGCTTTGTGAACTCGCGGCCAGAAGCTCATCTTTTCCCGGTAAGATCATATCATCAATGTTGATTTAAATTGATAAATAATTCGTGTTTTCAATATTGAAGACTTCGGATGATACCGAGTTAGAGACTTAGTTACTTTAAACTTGCTTGATAACGAGGAGGGTGCTATCGTCAACACGTTGGTTATATAAAAACCAGTAGTTGTTATATAAGATGTGTTATTAGCATGAGAGAGAGAGAGAGAGAGAGAGAGGGGGGGGGGGAAGTCCACTCGACAGAAACCGGGTCATTTCGGGATTAACATATGGTTCAATTTTATTTCAATAATTCGCTTACGCTTAGTGGTCGTTAGCCGTTGGAAGAAACCGAAAGACCCATAGAAAACTCACAAGGTTGGACAAGCGACCCTACTCCTTGTCATGTACAAACGGGAAATCGAAACCACGTCAGTTGACCCAATGACAGACCTTATGATACTGCAGGGACGTGCTAACCATTTAGCCATCCAACCCCCGTATTAGCATTAGATATCAGTTACTAACATGTCCCTTAAACATACATTATGCAAGAGCTAAATCTCCCTATTACAGGTCTTTCTTTAGGCCTGAATTGTTATCTAAATTATTAAATGTACATTTATTAACTTATCCAGACCCAAATCAACTTTCGATCTCATCGCTAGCCAGCGATATTGAGCGGACTGAAATACTTTGAAAAAAAATATTTAACGGATAATCGAAACTTTGTTTTTTTTTATCGTACCAACTTTAGTAATAATGATCGGGGCTAGCCTAACATTCAAAGGCTTATATCTCGGCTCAGAGTTGAGCAATTTGGCTGAAATTTTCAGCATATTCACTTTACGTTATCTTTGTTTTAACTCTTTATCTTATCTTCCATAATGTCTCTTTAAAAAAGTAGAATTTAAACTTAAACTCAAATCTAAATAATCTGTAATTATCAATTTCTGTATTTATCGTCACGTCTTGTCCAACATTGTGTACAACCCAATGTGGTAGAAAAAGATAGAAATCTGACCACAGAGCAAAGAGAAAAACATATTACTGAAACAAGACAGTTCTGGCTTACAATGTTAACAATTGAAATAAATGAAATGAAATGGGGTTTAACGTCCTACTGTTCTGCTCCTATGCTGTGCTAATGAAGACGGGCATACGCCATACAGTGTGCCATGAGGGAAATTTTGCCCGGGCAGCGGCACTATCGCTTACTCTTATATCGAATTCCAACTGCCAAAGGATCTTTTACGCGCATTCCAATGTATACACGGGACCTCGGTTTTTCGTCTCATCCGAAGGACTAGACAGCTGTCCTTGCCAGGCCCACTGTCCTGCATCACTGACAAGGGGGAACGTTAGCAATTGAACATTGAATCAGCCTTTGTAAACATTGACAGATAAAGTCCACTTCGTAAGAGAAATAAATTTTTACCGTAATCAAAAACGACCAGTCATCCTAATATCATTTGGGAAATTATGTTTTTAATCTGTCTGACGGAGACAAAATGTATAATTGTTTAGATCTAGGACTTCAGAATTTCAGAAAAGATTTTGAAAACGAGAATTCCTATCGTGGGCTTTATCAGGGCTCACTTGTTCCTTAGATACTGCTAAAAGCCTCTACGCGCAAACCAATTATTGAAATAAAATTTTACGATAGGTTAGTCCAAAAATTATCTAGTTTATTTTGAGTAGATATTTATCCCATCTCTCTCCGTTTGAGTAGTGTTGGAAAGCTGAATGGTTAGCGTGCGCGCGCTGTATCATAAAGTCTGTCATTGAATCGACTGGCGTGGTTGTACGTGACAAGGAGTAGGGTCGCCTGTCCTACCTCGTGGGTTTTCTCCGGGTCCTCCGGTTTCCTCCCACAGCTAAAGACCCCTATGCGCAAGTTAGGGGTTGCTGGGGTGTTGACAAGGGTTCGAGTAGCGGTGTGGGTATCTATGATATGTTGCCTTGTCGTTTGGATCGATGGAAAACCCAGGCCTACCCGTGTACATATTGCCTTGAACAGACAGTTGGACTAGGCAGAAATGCCGCGTTCCGGGCAGAATTCTTTCTCCCTGATAAACCACAGAAATAACAACACTATGACAATCTTGAAAGTATTGTTTAGGGGTTGGCATGGCCTAGTGGTATAGAACTTTAGCTGGTCGGTCACCTCAGGCTAACGGTCGTGGTTTCGATCTCTCGTGTGAACATATGTGGCTTAGAGATAGGGGCGCCTTCTCAACCTCGTGGGTTCACTCCGGGTACTCCGGTTTCCTACCACACGGAAGACCCCTACGCGTACCGTAAGATAATAAATAGAAGACAACTTGTCTGTGATATCACCCTTAGGTAGAAGCCGACGATAAACACTAATAGGTGAAGAAGTCTTGTCATGATGAGACCCCCATTGTAAAAAAATGTTTTCTGTTATTCCGCGGGGTTAAAGATAATCCCAACATTCGGAGAGCAATTGTTGTAATCAACTTACTGTGAAATACAATGGGGTATAAGGGTGTACCTTTGTGCCCCAGCACCATCTGGGCTTAACCCTTGTGCTTAAAAA